GCTACTCGCGCTCTTCCAACGGGAAAATCATAAAGCCGGGGAAAACTGAAAACAATGTCGCTAAGTCGGGATGATTTATATTTGTTTCTGTTTCTAGACGAGAGGATGTCGAGAGCGTCGGAATTCAATGAAAATTGCTAGCAATGTCAGACAGCGATTTTCGCTCGAGGGTATAATTTAGACTTTCCTTCCGAGACGTCAGCGGGTCTCCGTTCGCGATCCGACTTGAGCTACGAGATAGACGACGAACGTATTATTTTAGGTTATTGAAAGCGTGCGCTAAGAGTTTCCTTGGGATTTCAAAGCGCGATATTGATTTTCAGAATCTTGTCTTTGCGCGTCGCGCTCGGAGCCATTTTATTGTAAATCCGAAGGACGCATCTGAACTTTGCGAAGTTCAGGGACATTGTGAACAGAGTTAAATTGAAGAGGAATCCTTGGAGTCTACCAATTTGTTATGCATTCGTTATGAACCTGCAGTGCCGAGAATGCCGCAGATATCTATCTTGTCGGTATTAATTAGATCCTTTCAAACTATAGTCGCACTTTTAAAAGACTGTTTCTAACAGCGATAAAAATAGGCGTCCTTCATGACTCTTTCTAGCAAACTATTTGCAATATTAAGATAAACTTTGTTGGGTTAAACAGATACATCCTTAACTTATGAACTGGGGAAGTAACTTCTGCGCAACTCGTTTCACAATGGAGACTTTCTTCCTCGCAGTGAGAAGTTGTATTATCATGCTTGAAGTAATAAAAAAACATCGCTTTACATTTGTTGATTATTTATATTAGACAGAATATTATACGAAATATTTAGAAAATATATAAATGAAATATTTTCAATGTACATTTAAACAGATTGAGATAGTTATTTCGTGGTTGTTGAGTTTTTCGTTACGTAATTTTCTGTAGTATATCCTGACAGCCTCAGTCAACATATCAAGAACGGTACATATAAAAAAATACTAACACTAGGTTTCAATAAGTATGAATGACATAAAATGTAATATTAAAACTTTAAAATAATATAATAAATATAATGTAATATTAAAAAATTTAAAAATTTAAAATGTAATAGTACTTTCGAGAAATGCAATCCGCGGCTTCGTTTACGAGTTATTAACGGAAAACACTGACCAATGAGAAGCCAGCTCGGCTCGGCCGTCTCGCACTAGCTGATCTCGCCTCTCATTGGTCACTGTTTTTCGTTAATAACTCGCAATCAAAACGGTGGATTGCATTTTCGCTAAGGAAAAAGTTACTTCAAATGATCTCGCGAACCCCTCGTTTCTCGGAAGTACCATAATTTTGGGTACCATTGTATTACTTTTAAAAATTCTCATAACGAAGAACTTTCTGATATCACGAAATATATCGTCATGCCCGGTTAACAGATTCAACTGGATGGAAACATTTTTCTGTTCCATACAATGACTGCCTAATCCAGGGGTGTCAAACTCAAAAGCTAACTTGGGCCATAATAATAAATAAACAATGCTTAACTTTAGGTGGGCCGCAAACAAAAAATCAATGTTCATAGAAACAAATATTTTTATTCTGACTAGTACATTGTAATAAACATATATAAAGTTAAATTATTGTTTACGTCCTGATACTCGACATCTCTTCTCTGATACTATCTTTCCTATTTCGGGAGAAATTTTATTGGCCGAGACTACTTTCAAAATTTCTAATTCACATTTCTATTTTATTTTTACTTTGCGTCGGATATATTGACTGGGCCGCAAAAACGTTCATCTCGGGCCGCGAGTTTGACACCCCTGGCCTAATCGATATCTGACATATTGCACCGTACAAACTGTAACGTCGTCGTTCTTGGGACTTCGTTCGTGCAAGTTTGTGTTGTACTCTTCGTCGAAGTAAAGAGAAATTGAACTTCGGAACTTATTACACTCTTCGACCTAATTTCTACTCAGTCTCTGACTTTCGTGAGGTAGCACTGTCGCCGGCTATGCTTCTACCAGCAGGAATCTCTCAAATGCACCGAGCAGAGCCGTTTCCTCGCAGAATCTCGGGGCTCTTTGAGCCAGCCAGTATTTACGGTCGGCAAGAACCAAACAGTTTTGCTGAAGTCGTTAAATCAAAATGATTTGCAGCCGGTGGCGAGTAGCCTAGGCGCGATAATAGCGTATCGCGGAGCGACAGAAGCAGTTTGGCGACGCGACGCGTGGCCGGCCGTAGTACGCTCGAAGGACAGTTCATTCATCGATGTCAGTCCGAGGCTGTGGATTCGCCGGATTCTCGCGAGAGTAACGCGGTAGGAGACGTATACGTTCCCCAGGGAAAATAAATGAACGGGTCCCGCCCCTATTGTTGGGTGTTGCTAATTAAAGTCGTAGGTTCACGGTTACCGATCTATTCCGGTAAATTGCATCGGCCGCGGACCACTTTTGACCGGGCAGCATATTACGGCCGAGATTTACGTCTTGTTAACGTCACGGTTTAGTTACTGGCCCGCGGACTTGCGGACACAACTACAAATCATTCTCAATAATCCGCGCGAGCCATGCTGCTGCCATGCCGCCGCTGCCGCGCAGCACACGCGTATCGCCCCGTGACTAAATTTAACCGCGAGATTCCGCTTACACGTAACCTCGTTGATCTTTCGAGCCGGTGAATTGTTGTGACCGGTTAATTGAATTGAATTATGCGCCTCCTCGCGCGCGCTGTGCGGTTTCAGCTTCTAAACGGGGATCCGACGAGCGCGGTTCCCGCACGTCCCTAATAGCCGATCTGCCTATCAACTCTCGAATGATCCCTCCATTGTTTCTCTTATTATACTAATGGACCGTTAAGTGGATTATCAACGTTCTCGCGGCTATTCTTTCCCCGCAGCTTTCCGGAAATCTACCAAAATACGGATTCGCGAGGTTTAATCGAAGTTCTAGAAGAATTGAGATCGCGTCGTTATTTTTGGCTTGGTCGGTACAGTGTTTTCGATTGGACAATGTTACAATTAAATTATGAATTCTTAGGCAAAAATGTCTGATTCCATTGGAAGTGAAAGTTGAAGTGAATATGTATTTTCGATAATAATGTTGATAGGGCTATAAACTAACGTGACAATATGGTAGAAATAAAGTCTCTTTATTCTATCAGAATCTTCAAAATAACAATCGTTCTTTAATTGTTCATTGTTCATTGTTTGTTGCTACATAACCATGTTTATTTTTAAACGGAATTATTGATTTTTGTCTTTTTTTAAACTGCAGCAGACACGACTACGATCTCGGAGCACTATCGGAGTTTATTTAACTGGATCCAGCAAATTCGACTCCGTTTCGTCCCACGAGAGCATAAAATTCCAGAGGATAGTTATATTTATATGATCGCATTAACTCCTTCGAACTATACAACATTGTCTCAACAAGATCACCGTGCTTTCTGAGGCAACAAATACGGCCAGAGTGATTTACAACTTCCTGTCGTACGTCTGCTCTTCTGTTTGCGTTCAAGAAATAACTACTCGGCCATAAACTCCGTTTAACTTAACATCGATGTATTCCTTAGAAGATCGATCGCGAACGTTGCTGGCCAAGAGAGTAATTCGCAAATTTTGACGCGTTGAAATTCATTGTACGTTCTTCGAAAGAATCGTTTCTTTTGTAAGTTGTTTCTAAATAAATTTCTTTATAATAATTTGCATTAATCAAATGAATTATTACGTTACCAAATTTCTTTATATTTCATGGACAATCGAGTAGACGTAATTTTGAACACGTCGAATGAAAATGATCGTATGTAAAATAGAGCAAAAGTTAAACAAAATTTAACTTCACTTATGTCCTTCGAATGTAAACGCTCTTCAAAATAGTTGTATAAAATGACTTTATTTTTACTTTTATTAGTTTTGTTACACAAGTTGTTATTTACTTTTGTTATTTTTACTGTTACTTCGTACTTTAAATTAAGAAATTATATTTCATTAGTTTCCTCACGTCTTACATTACAAAATTATATCTCATTATTTGCCTCACATTTTACATGAAAGAATGGTAATTTTGCCTCACGTTTTACATTAAGAAATTATATCGCATTATTTGCCTGTCACTTTAAATTCATGAATTATTCTTTGCACTTCAACAGTAAAGAATTAGCATTAAAAGTGACTAATTCGTATTGCTCTATAAAATTGAATGAATAAAAATCAATTGAATTTATTTAGACATTTCACCGTTTTTATTACATTGTACGCTGGACATAAGAAATTTACACAATTATTTCGTACGGAAGCACCTCTGTAATATCGACAATTTTTAAATACGAATTGCGAAACCGGTGACTTTTATCAGTCATGAGATGGGTTTAATGTTAAATCAACAAATTAACTCTCTAACCGCGGGCAACGCAGAATTCGCGTTCCAAAAATTTTCGCGTTGTAAAATTTCGCAAAAATAGAACTAAATCTACGATTCGTTTATTTTCGTTTTGTAAATATCCTTTTTACCTTTTCTTTCTAATTTTCAGGACGCGTCCGCATAACAAATAAAACTAGTCGGCGATCGCATACCGAAAAATCGAAAACTCGTTCGCGATTGGAGAGTTAACCCCTTGCACTATGATTTCTTTTGCAGCTACCTTGATCAGCTGTTCTTTGTCCTCAATCATTACCCTGATAGAACGAGAGAATTTTTGTACTTTGTATGTCTTCGTTTACTTTGAATCCTAGATTTTAATAACAGAACAATCAAATTTTATTTTTCCTCAGAAGAGACGAAGAATGTTTGCATTTAATAGATTGCGTATAAAATCTTCATCGCGAGTCTGACTCGTTGTTATAGTGCAAAGGGTTAAGGAACGACACATGCAGCAAGAAAAGCAGAAAAAGAATCAAACATTTCTAGTTTCCAGCGGAAAGAAATCGGACGAATGAATTCAGTGGAGTGAACGGACGGCAATTAAACCGAGTAAAAGGTGTAATTGATACCTCTTAAACAGTAAGCTTCTCAATTATCGCGTCAATGAAACGAACTCACCTCCTCGCCGCGCACGTCCCTATATCGAACCCATTTCCCGAGCTTCGGCCTCCAATATTCGAGCATGTAAGCCTCCGAGAATTCGACACCTTCGCCGTTGCCGAAGCGTCCTTGAGTGCCGGTGGCGGTGATCATGTGGACCGTGTGAAGATCGATTTCTAGCCACTCGCGTGGTTCCGTCGTGATCTGCTGCTTCGGGCACCAGGCGCCTCCGTGGCTCTCTTGCCTCAGCCTGTAAGGGTAAATATTTACTCTGGGATTACCGGCGTTTATTTTTTCTCTCTCCGTCTTCTCGCCCCTTTCTCTTAACAGGAAAAACCTTTTTTTAACACAGCCCGTCCCCGGAAAAAAAGTGGAACGTCCAATCGTTTCTTGGGAACAGACACGCTGCAAACCGAGCGAGATTGGAAATCCGAACTTCCTTTTTTCTCAGCTTTTTCTCGAGGGCTTATGATACTGTCGCGTCGACCCGGCGCGAAAGAAATCTCGTCTCCATGTGTTTGCGTTCGAAGCTGGGACTTATACGTATACCTGTTTCGTCGTTCGAACCTGTTGTTTGTCATTCGAGTCAAAGATCATTTAGTGATTATTTTGTGATGCAACGACTCGCACGAATATTTTACTTTTCAGAATAGAATAGCTTTTTTAGAAGCGGACGAAATGACTTTTTTCAAATGATAAATGTGTCTTTTTTAGATGTCAGGGAGACTGATTCTTATGGTTGAAACATTTCAGAGAATTTTCTTCGGTACCGAAATCAGCAGATTGAAGATGTGATAAAGTTGTAACGACTTCTTGAAGATTTATATATGAGCCGTTTATTTTGAAAGTGGCATAAGTCACTTTGTTTTTAAGTCGATCAATATTTAAGGGTTTGCGTTTCAACACGTTTCAAAATATGGATGCTAACTTTCGAAAAGATTCACTTGTATTTGTTTTTTACGAATATTTTAATTTAAATGAACGCGTTTCAAAAAAAAGTTTTTACTATTCACTTAAAAATCCGGCATTCCACGTGCATCGACATAATGTTAAACAGAGAAATTTTCTATTTGGTTCCCGTGCTTTGCATTCTGCTCAAAGTTCCACGATCTACTTAAAAATTCACAACTGAACTTTAAATATCAAATGCGCTAGCTAATTCAATTCGCTGTCTCGTAATTGATCGTTGAAATACAAATCATTGGCAGCAAACAATATTGGCAATTCATTGACTAAAACAGTGTATCACTAATTGAGCCGATTATTTTGAAAGTGGCATAAGTCACTTCGTTTTGAAGTCGATATATTTAAGGGTTTGCGTTTTAACACGTTTCAAAATATGGATGCTAACTTTCGAGAAGATTTACTTGTATTTGTTATCTCGGGATACTGATATTTTTCTCGGTATAAATATATTGTTTAAACATTAAAAAATCACCGCTTTTCATTACGGTAAAGTGACTTGTGCCACTTTCAAAATAAACGGCTAATATGTACATCATAAATCTGTGAAGATTGTCAGTTTCTTTCGAAGATAATTGTTACCCAATTTCAATATAAACTATTGTTAGAAAAACAGTATTAGGAATGTTTATAACCAGCTGATTAGTAGACTGCGGATTTGATGCATTTATGACAAGAATGATTGCGTGGAATACGAAATAATGGACACTCTTTACAAAACAGACATCGTTTCTTGCAGTTGGCGCATATAGCATTTGTTTTGCCTAAAATTCCACAGTCTAATAATAATAATTTACTACAAAATATGATAGTAGTAATAGTCATTAGGATAATTACTGTCTATTCACACAGAATGCTCATAAAATACCTCGAATTCTTGAGATACGATATTCGAGTAAGCCATGAAATATTTTGCGCTGAAATCTGGCAGACATTTTTTATTTCGCACTAAGCGTAACAGTCTTATGATAATAATTTAACAGTCGCTGAAACAATTACAGTGACCAATCGCAGAGAAGGCTTAGAAAATACCCCGAATATCTGAAACGTGCTCGAGTAAATTGTACGATTTCGTGCTGAAATCGGTGATGCGATATCGCGATCGACGTATCGATAAAAATTTCTCGATAAGGCGCAGACGAGAAAGAACGACGAGTATAATCGGAAATGTTACATCGTTGTAGAAAGGAAATCGTATAAATACGTGATCCACCGCGCGGCTGACGGATAACCGTCACCTCGCGCCGGGGCGATACGGGGTGAAATTATAATTTATCGATCGAGTCGAGCCACTGGATGGCATGAATTAAAGATGAGCCGGCACACCGCCGCGCGTCTCCGCTCCGCTCCGCGCCGCGGGAACGCCGCGCGGGGAAGCCACTTGGAGCCGGCTAATAATTGTATTCGCACATACCTTTCGCGGGCTCGTCTACGGCATTAAAAAGCTGCCGGCGATTGCCGCGAAAAACGCTTCTCGCGAGAGGAATGTCGCCGAGATTTCAGCCGATCCGCCGAGAAAACGGGGAGACCGAGCCGGTTCGAGTCTAATCGGTTCGTTCCTCCGTTTGACGTCTCACTTCGCCGTGCTTAATTATCATTTTAGTTTCTCATTAACCGGTATCTCGTCCTATAAATGTTTTACTACCGGGCTGCATAACGCGCGCACCCGAGGATCCGATTCCCGGAGACTTCCTGGCACCTCTTCCTTCGCGATGAATTATTAACGAACAGCTTTGCCGGCAGATATATGCCATACGTCATTTCCGATGCGCGTGCCGCTTTTGATTTTACTGCAGTTACCAGATGGGATGATTTCAAGCCGATGCTGCGCGGGCTGTGCTTACCGATGAAATTATTTTGATACTCGTTGCACATGCTGTGCGCGCGGTTCACCAAAATCGATTTATATTTCATTCAATATCTTATTTGTATTTGTTTGCACGTATCTTTTATTCATGTTTCTTTGTATTTATTTGCTTGTTTGTACATTCGCGAAGCTGTAAATACCGCTTCGGCTAAACTATGAAGTAATGTAACGTGGGGATTAATCACTCTGGTTCAACGCCAAATCTATCGAGCTTTGAAAGCGACCGACGCGCGTTGCTTCGTAAGAACGAGAAGATTGAATTTATTGAGAATTTTCACCGTTTTCGTTGTAATGGAAGCTTGAAAATAAGAATTTATTCAATCGTTCATTAAGAAAAAGTCTCCACAATTTCAACGATGTAGAAATAAAAAATGGTAAACCGGTTATTTCGGCGACATGGTTAGATCTGCGTTAAATAGAATTTAGTTTAAGATTGTAACGATGTATTTCTATAATCTTATGCAGTCTTGCTTTATGGAATGTTTTCTTGTTCCATTCTTGTCTGCGCTTCATTCTTGTTCCTAGAATGTGTAAGTAAATTGTAGGAAAATCTACATTCCAGAATACCAAGCACAATGCAGTTATTCGCAACAATATCTTATGAATGAATGTTCTGTTTGTTAATTTCAATGAAAAACTAAATATTGGGTTGGCAACTAAGTAATGTATTCTGCATCAATTAGTCAGTACTTCAAAATCAGATATAAGACTTATATTGAAGAATTATGTCATGCTTCTTTACGTGATCTTGTTTAATCAAATTCGATAAAAAATTATTAAATCTGCTATGTCTGGCAAATGGTATATAACCATCCTAACCGATCGTCTTTCCATCATAAATACTCACATTTGAGTATATTCCTTTAAAAGGTACAGTATAAGGAAACCGGAATGCTTAACAATGCCACTTTTTCCATCGTTTCCGTACATTATTTATATTTAGTATAGAGGGGAGCATTTATTATTTATTTGCTCGATTTTAAAACTATGTAGAGGATCTGGAGTTCAGGAAACAGTCATTGTCATTCTATCGTGCCGATTTGTTCAATGAAATAAAAATTGTTTTTCACTTGGAACGAAGTTCAATCTGTAATGTATTTTCCATTTTGCTAGATGACCCTTTTGCCATCTCTCTGACAACTTGAAAATTCCACGCTCGTAGAAAGTCTGATCCTTTTCGGCCAAAAACTGAGTTAAGTGAGATTTTACAGCGTCGTCGTCATTAAAAGTTTTACCACGAAGGGAGTTGTCCAGGGATCGAAATAAGTGGTGATCCGATGGCGCGAGATCAGGGCTATATGGTGGGTGTAACATCAATTCCCAAGCAATATCCATCAATTTTTGCCGAGTGGACAAAGACGTGTGCGGCCTAGCATTGTCCTGCTGGAAAATGACACCTTTACGATTGATCAATTCTGGTCGCTTTTCCTTGACCGCTGCATTCAATTTGTCCAGTTGCTAACATTCGCGGATAATAAAAAATAACATAATGATAATAATAATAATAATTTTATAGTATAACATTTACGGATATCATAAAAATGGGAGCGAGAGACATCTATAACTGAAATCGGCAATTACTTAGTTGCCAACCCAATATATTTCGTTTGTAATAATATTCAGAACTTCTACAGTACTAGTGGATTGACACCAATGTAAAACGAACGATGAGGAAATCCTCGTCGGTGACATCTAGACGGATTTTTCTGGCATCGATCTATCAGTATTGTCGTTAAAAATTTGCTGCAACACAAAATTCAGATCGAATCCTCCGCGCCGCCAGTTTCAAACTCAATTTGAAGTTTAAGTGAAGGAAAAAATATACGACGACCAAATCGCTCTGCCGAAGATTACTTTTCAAGCAGCGCCGCGCCGCGCCGTTCGGAAGATCGCAAAGAAACCGACGTCTGGTGCGCAACACCTTTGAGCGCGAAACGAAATCGCAAAGAGGCAGAAGCTGGTAAGATAGGCTGAACGAATTCTCGATGCAGGTTCGTACGAGGTGATTTCCAAATACACAATTTTTACTTTGCAACTATTTTTCTACGACGACTTTCCCATCGCTCGCGCAACCATTCCTTCGAACAGCTTCTAACGCGACGTAATGAAAATTAGCCGTTGAGATTGTTATAGAGAATATTGAGAGGGCTCCTTTTAACACTATGCCGTCCGCAGATCTTAAATATGATTCTTTTGTTTGACGCCGGCATAATAGCTTGGAAATTTTAGATTTTTTAAAAAATGTCGAAGATGCCGGTAATATAAATTCCTAAAATTAAGATATGTCGTCCAAGAATTTTCGTACTTAATTCTTAGTTAAATAAGCACGATGCTATAGTTAGTTTGCTGCCTTTTAACACCCAAGAAATGTAGTTCAAATGTTATTTCAGTTTTTTAAAATGCCACCAAAGTGGTACCGC